ACGCTCCCCCTGCCTCTGCCTCCCGAGTGCTGGGATTAAAGGCGTGCGCCACCAACGCCCGGCCCCAGAGTCCTGTATTTCAATGCTGTTTTCCAATACTCCAAAGTCTAAGCCTACATATCCAGAAGTTCCATCTCCCAACGTCCTCAGACGGCAGCACAGCAAGATCCAGTGCACTGACCCTCAAAAGACTCACATTCTGGCTTTCTCATAGCCCCACACCGGATCCCGCCATTCTGAGCCCCAGTATTCACCACTCTGCCGACACCAAAGATCACAGTCTGCCAAGAGCTCAGGAAGCCCACGAAGACCACCTTCTGACTGTGAGACCAAATGCTTTCCTGTGGTCAACACCCAATTGCTCACATTAAATTCTTCTTTCATTAGAATCCCAACATGGCAGAAGTCTGGCTAGCCAGAACGTAATCCAACAAGCTGACCTTCCAACTCAGACTTCTAAGAATTCTTGTAACAACCTTCCTGAATTCTCTGATCCCAACACTCCAGCAAGAAAACACCCCCTATTCTAGGACTCTCAGCTGCCCCCCAGAACCAGGAAGCGGTCCCCAAGGCCTCCAGGCTAAGAGCACCAGCCACGAAAGCAAGGTGGCACATCTGTGGTCAAGCCCTGAGCCTGCTGCCCAGCCGCAGAGGAAGGCAAAGCTGTTCACCTGAAGCAGTAGTTGGTGTCCAGGGCTCTGCGATGCCTTGAGCTGTGCAGGTGCTGGGCCCTCTCCAGCGGGGTGGCCATGAGGAGCAGGAAGGGTCTGTTCATGTCATGAATGGTGCCCAGGTCACCTCGACGTTTGGGACTGATCCCTGTTTGGGTTCGGATGTTGGGGTTTGAAAGATAAGACATACACTTACAGGGAGGCATGGGTGAGCAAGGAGCAATGAGACTTCAACAGGCAGGCACATGCAGGGGCCATGCCAAGCATCATCAGGCTCACCGTTGATTTCCACGTGGAGTACGTTGTCTTTGCTGTCACAAGAGCAGTGAGCACTGAAGCGAAAGCACAAAACCTGTGTCTGAGCTGTGTGAGAGGAGGTGGGAACAATCCATGCCCGGATAATGGGATTTGGGAAACATGCTACTTCTCTGAAATAGAACCCACAGTATGGACCCACGTGGAACTCCCTAGCAGATCCAGGAACTGTGAATGCCTCCATCCTGTATGCAGTTTCATGGACATTTGCAGGCATGAAGCATTTACCACATAGTCCCATCGTATGACCAAAAGGAAACAAAAAAGAAAGCAAAAGAATCAGTTTGGGGGAAAAGGAATATATATATGTACATGTATATATATGTATATATATATATGTGTGTGTGTGTGTAACGCATATTATATATGTGATATGTACAGCATATATATGGAGATAGAGAATGTGTGTGGTAAGCTTGTATGTGTTGCACATACAGAGGCCATAGCTGAGTGCTGGGTATCTTCCTCAGTTGCTTTCCCCCTTATTGTCTCAGACAGATCTCTAGGTGGCCACAGAGCTGTGTGTCTGCCTGTCTCCTCACTCCACCCCCAACAATGTTGGGTTTACGTGTTTACAGGCATATGCTATGCCTGGGTTTTCACATGGGTTGTCGGGTATTGGAACTCAGTTCTTGTGCTTGCAATAGGAAAGTTCTTGCCCAGCTGGATGGTGGTGGCTCACTCCTTTAATCCCAGCACTCACGAGGCAGAGGCAGGTGGATCTCTGTGAGTTCCAGGCCAGCCTGGTTGACAGACAGAGAGTTCCAGGACAGCCAGAGCTACAGAGAAACCCTGCCTCGAAAACAAAGACAAACAAAAAAAGCTCTCACCCACCAAGCCAACTCTCCAGCCCGCTTTTTCTTTTGAGAGAGGGTCTCAGGTAGCCCAGGCTGGCCTCAAATTCTCAAACTCCCTATGTGGCTAAGAATGACCTTGATCTCCTGAGTCTCTTAGATCTGTCTCCCAAGTGCAAGGCTCAGTAGGCTTCTACATCATGCTTGTTGTCGTGGGTCTCTGTATTCCGTGTGCTCTGTGAAGGCTGATCCTCAGTCATAAAAATAAGCATCCACTGTGATCCAGGGCCAGGAGCAGTGTTGGTACAGGAGAAGTTTAGACCTAACGCAGGTGTCAGGTCTGGCTCTAAACTCAGTGTCATGTCCTTTAATCTTAAAAGGCCTCAATTTTACAGGCCAGGAAATGAAAGCACACTAAGTGACTCGGCCAAGGCCACACAGGGAGGCCACAGGCAAAGTGTAAAACTAACCTGAGTGTTTTCCTACCCTGCACTGGTAGATGGGCTTTTATTTTTAGATACTAAATTGCTCAGTTGGCCAATTTTTCCCATTTTATTTATTTCTTTATTGTGGTGGGGGTGCACTACACCAGGGTGTGCATGGAGGTCAGAGGTCAACTCATAGGAATTGGTTCTCTCCTTCTACCATATGGGTCCTGGGGATGGCCTCAACTCAGGCCACTAAGCTCACAGGCAGGCACCCTTTACCTGCTGAGCCATCGCTTTTTTCCCTCCCTCCCTTCCCTGAGACAGGGTTTCTCTGTGTAGCCTTAGCTGTCCTGGAACTCACTCTGTAGACCAGGCTAGCCTTGAACGCAGAGATCATCCTACCTCTCTGCCTCCCAAGTGCTGGGATGAAAGGCCTGAGCCACCGAGGCCCAGCTTGGGAGACGTTTCTTGAGTGGACACATATATGATACCTTTTAAGTTCCTACTGTATACCAGGCCCTGCACTGGATCTTTCCCCATCTCTGTCCAGTGGTTTTCATCATCCTTTGTGGTACCAGCCTGCTCAATCCCACCGGTCTCCCCACACCCACTCACATCCCAGATCCTAAACTTTCCTGGGTTTCTACCGCACCCGGAGCTTCCCTCATCCAAGTAGGGCTCCCTCCGTGTAGGGCTCCCATCTGGTCTTCCTCATCCAAGGCCATCAGACCTTATTGATGTCTGGAAAGACCTGTGGACCTTGTGAGGGCAGGACCCAGTTATGACTGTGTCCCCCACAGCGTCCACACAAGATCACTCACCACAGAAACCCTGCAGCACTGACTGAATGGATCTAAGGACGAGAGGAAAACTGATACAAGTTCTATGGATAGAGACAGAGACAGGGAAAGACTATTCCCTCCCGGACAGACGGACGTGTCAGGCCCTCCCTGGCGGCAGAGCCTTGGAACAGGGTGATGGGGGATGTTCTTCTGTATATACGTTTCTCTTATTGGTTGACGAGTAATACACTGATTGGCCAGTAGAGGCAGGAAGACAGGTGGGCTAAATGCTGGGGAGAAAGGCGCCTCAAAGAGATGCCATGTAGGGGGCTGGAGAGATGGCTCAGAGGTTAAGAGCACTGACCGCTCTTCCAGAGGTCCTGAGTTCCCAGCAACCCAGCAACCACATGGTGGCTCACCATCATCTGTAATGAGATCTGGTGCACTCTTCTGGTGTGCAGATAGACATGGAAGCAGAATGTTGTATTTATTACGTATACAACATTCTGTAATAAAAACATATACAACATACAGAATGTTGTATACATAAAATCTTATAAAAAAAAGAGAGAGAGATGCCATGTAGCCATTCTCCGGTAAGCCAAGACCACGAGAAAATACATAGATTAATAGAAATGGATTGATAATTAAGACAGAGCTTGCCGGGCATTGTTGGCACATGCCTTGGGAGGCAGAGGCAGGTGGATCTCTGTGAGTTCAAGGCCAGCCTGGTCTCCAGAGCAAGTCCCAGGATAGGCTCCAAAGCTACACAGAGAAACCCTGTCTCAAAAAAACAAAAACAAAACAAAACAAAAACCTAAAAAAAAAAAAAAAAGACAGAGCTAGCCAATAAGAAGCCTCAGCCATTGGCCAAACAGTTTTATAATTAATGCATCTCTGTGTGCTTATTTGGGGCTGAAGGGCAGCGTGACCTGGCAGGACAGAAACTTTCATCTTCAACAGGATACTCTTGCGAGACTTTTTCTGGTTGCTTCTACTCATCTCAGGGACATTACCTCACATGCCCCCCTCCTCCAGGAAGCCCTCCTTGAACACAGACAGTCAGGCACCTCCTGAGTGCTCAACTCCAACCCTCTCCACTCTGAGTCACCACCACCACCTAGCTGGAAGTCGGTTCTTCCTTCAATTATCCAAAGGACCACAAGCTCTGTTGAAGGCAAGGATATGAGTTGTTTGGGTAACTGCTGTGTCTCTAGTGTCTCCTGGCAGAGTTCAGGGAATCACAATCAGTCAGCAATTGATCCACTGGAGAGAACTGGGGAGTACTTTTGAACCAGGGTACTTTTTGATATCAGTAGAGGTGGTGGTGGGTGTTAGGCTTGGTGATGCCAAGCCAAGGTAACCCCACTGGAGGTGGGCACAGACAAGCAATCTCACCTCCTTGGTTCAGCCACTGCCGTACAACCGCAGTGACATCAAAAGACAACCACTCCGGCGTATCGGTGGGGGACAGCAGTCGGTTACCAAGGTAACGCCAGGAATTTCTGCTGAATTTCTGAATGGAAACAAAGCAAAGAGGAGTGAGTAGCCACCATCCTGCCCCCAGACACCTGGTTGCAACCCCATGCTACCTGTCCCCACAAGCTGGCTTCCAAACAACCCTCAGACACTGGCTTCAGGTACATCACACCAGGAGCCCTGCAGACTCCACCCTCACATATAGTCCCCAAGAGCAGAAAGCAGATGGGGAAAAAAAAACAACCCAGTCTGTGGTCAAGGCACCACCAGGCACTTCAGCCTGTACCCCAGCCTGGGAGCCATGGGTACGTCTTTCCCTTTCCGGACCTAAGTTTCTTCCACGGCCGGATGGTCAGCCACGGCAGCTGGCATGGTCCACAACGCGAGTGGTTGTTGCTTAGCTGCTTATACAACTGTGCAGACGGTTCGGCAGTTTTGACACCCTGCCTTTGGGAGACTGGTAATTTTCTCATTTATTGGTTTACAGTTTATTAGTTTATAATTATTATTATGTGTTGCATGTACTGAACGGTCTTCCCAACCGTGAATTTTCTTTTCAGACCTAGTCTATGTAACCCGAGCTGTTCTAGAACTAACTATGTAGACCAGGCTGGTCTTGAACTCACAGAGCTCCTCCTGCCTCTGCCTTCTAAGTGCTGAGATTAGTGTGCGCCACCACACCCAGGCTTAAACATGTTATTTTTGGCAGGACGGTGGTAGGACACACCCTTAATCCAAGCACTCAGGAGGCAAAGGCATAGGCAGGCAGATCTTTGAGTTCAAGGCCAGCCTGGTCAACAGAATTAGTTCTAGGACAGCCAGGGCTACATAGAGGAACTCCGTCTCAAAAAACAGCAACAACAACAAAAGTTGTTTTTGAAGTTCAGAATAGAGACTGCTGACTAAAAGACTAGAAAAGCACTGAAATGTTTAATTTCTTGGTTTGCAACAAGGTCTCACTATTCTAAGATGGACTTGAACATTTGGGTTCAAGAGATCTTCCTGTCTTGGCATGTTGAGTAGCTGGGACAACAGGTACAACTACATAGAGCTCAATAAAAACAAAAACAACAACAACAAAAAAAGTATTTTTGTTGTTTGACTCATGTAGCCTTGTCTGGCCCAGAGGCCCAGAACTGTAGCCTTGTCTGGCCCAGAGGCCCAGAACATACTATGTAGACCTGAAGTTTTGTTTTTAATTTTTATTTTATGTGACTTTGTGTTTTGCCTGCATGTGTGTCTGTGTGAGGCTGTCGGATCTTAGACAGATTTATTTTTACTCTATGTGTATGAGGGTTTTGTCTCCTTGCATGTATGCATACCCTGTGCACGCCAGAGACGTATCAGATCGCCTACAACTGAGATTAATAGTCACCACACTGCTGGGAATTGAGCCTGGGTCCTCTGCAAAAGCAACAAGTGCTCTCAACTGCTAAGAACTCCAGTACTACTTCAGTTTTCCCTTGAGACAAGGTCTCATGTGGCCCCGGCCTCAGACTCCTGAGACTCCTCAGCCTCCACTCCCCAAGTGCTGGGATTCCAAGTATGAATCCTGAAGACTCCAACTGCCTTTCCTGCCTGCTTTCTCGTCTTCCTCACTCTTAACTGTTCTTTCCTGTGCTAAGGACAGAACCTAATGCTTTTCTCATACTTGGCAATCAGTCTACCACTGACCCACGCCCCCAGCCCCTCACTGGGGGGATCCTAGGCAGGGGCTCTACCACTGAGTCACACCCCCAGCCCCTCACTGGGGGGATCCTAGGCAGGGGCTCTACCACTGAGCCACGCCCCCAGCCCCTCACAGGGGTATTATAGCCAAGCATACAAACACAGATATTCATCTCCTGGCTCTTTCTGCATATTTAGAGTTCAGCCCCCCAAATTCGGCTATGTAGACCCTGTAGCCTTCAAACTGAGCCACGCGTCCACAGCTCTGCACTGGTAGCTTGTGCCAACCTCTCAGGCCCCAAGCCTCACCTGGTAGAGTTCAAGGCCTTGTTCTACACTTGACTTGAATCTCTGCAGACGCAGCTCTGCCCGGGACAGCAATGGGGGTTCAGGCACTGCTTCCCTAATGTCTGACGTATTGAAGAACATATAGACACTGTGTGGGATGTCTTTGGTTTTATCATAGATTGCTAGGTGGGGAGAAGCAGAAGGAAAAGGCATCAGGTAGGTGACAAGGATGAGAGCAACAGGCACACCCCACTTCTGAGGTCCTGAGCCCTGACCCTGACAGCCCAGGTCGGTGGCCCACTTGATATTTTTTAATTTTTTAACTTTTAACTGTACTTTGTGTATGGTGCCCGTGGAGGCCAAAAGAGGGTGTGAAATCCCCTAGAACTGGAGTTACAGATGGCTGTGAACTGACATGTGGGCTCTGGAAATCCTCTGGAAGAGCAGCCAGTGCTCCTTCCCACTGAGCCACCCCTCCAGCCCCCACTGATGGTTTTAGCCGGCTGACCTCGGGCGGGCGAGGGTGTCTCCCTGTCTGGGTTTGCTTCCTCTCTGCTAAGTCGGACCCATCCCATGAAGCATCACCTGTCAAGTTCCCTTCAAGCATACAGCTGCCAAGGCCCACCCACCCGAGCTACAAGAGACCAGTCTCAAACCAAACAAAACAAAGTTGTAGAGTAAGGGACACAGCCATAATTTGGGGGATTAGGGAGTCTCAGCTGCCTAGCCCGGTGGGTGCTCCTGCACTGAACCACACCCTCAGTTCCTCCACTGGCAGGTTCTAGGTAGCAGCTGAACCACACCTCCAGCCCTTTTGTGGTGAGCCCTAGGGAAGCGCTCCCCCGCTGGGCCAGCCTCCCGTTCTGACTCAGGTTGTCTGTAACTAAAGTGCCCTGTAACCTGTGGTGGGCAAACTCCTCTCTTTAACCCTAAGACATCACCCAATTCCAGGATTAGGGGAACAGATGAGACTCAGGACAAAAGCTAACGACGTAACACGCAGACAGGTCGCTCATATATATACATGTTAGCCAGTGCAAGTCTGCAGCCAGCACTTGGGAAGCTGAGGCAGGAAGATCTTTGAGGGTGAGGGGTTAGCCTGTGTGTATAGACAGACACTATTTTTATGTTGTTGCTGTTTTTTTTTTTTTTAAAGGAATACAGCAAGTAGTAAAGCTATCACTCGAAACACTTCACAAAGATAAAGACAGGGACACTTCACAACAGAAGATGCAAGCCACCTGGCTCCAGGGAATAATCGTTTGTTTGCTTTGTTTCTGGAGACAGGATCTCATAGCTTAGGCTATGCTCAAACTCGCTGTGTATCCAAGGATGGCCTTGGAGCACTCTACCTCCCTGGTGCTGGGATTACAGTCATGGACCACTTAAACTCTGCTTCTTCCTGGCCAGCGTGGTGTTAACTAGTACCCATGTGTCATCGGTGTGGTGGTGAAATGCATCTCTAGGTCAGAAAGACTGAATGATGGGAGCCCCATTTACTAGACGGCTTCCTAGAAAACAGGATGTTTGGGTTGGGGGGTGATGGGGTAAGATCCTCAGTCAACTGGGGCAACTGCCTCTGGCTTCCTGGAGTGGAAATGAGATGATGTCCGGGACATGGAGGAAGGGCAGAAAGACACTTCTTCCTCGTGCCTCCTTTTTTCCTAAGGGCCCTATTCTTGGTCCAGTTGTTACTCAGCAAACCTCAAAGGGAAGGGTAGCATCCTAGCTGGGGGTAACAGATAGGGGGGCAGATAGGAGGGCAGGAAGGATTATGGGCGTCGCAGGGGGAGGGGGAGCGACACAGATGAGTCGGTCCGTGGGAGAGGAGACGCGGAAATGGGGAGGCAAACGCCGGAAGAGATAAATGCCTTCGAGAAGAAATAAAAGACAGTCTCAGGGGAGAGGGAAGGACGTCTTCGACAGGGTCACATTCGGGAGTGGCCAGGGAGGGGGGTGTCATTAGGCTGGAGCCCCAACTGGGTACAACC